AAGAATACTATCTGTTCAATTATAATTTTCCTTTATGTTGAAGGAGTAGCAACCCACGTGATCCACCAAGTGTCGTTGTTGTTAGAAATACAGAGTCGAATCTCATCGAGAGCTGGATCACTTTGAGAGGATAAATGAAGGACAAAATGAATTGTATTTAACTATTTATTTTTGGTTGGTTAGGTGTCTTTTTGTATTTTTTTTTTATATTTAATTATTATAATAATGTAAATAAGAGAGAAATTAGGAATGAAGAAAAGTGAATGACAAAAGTTATACACATGTAACAGAAAATAGTTCAATAGACTATAGTGTGTTCTGATTATTGAGTGTAGCTGTTCACTCTATCAACTAGTTCCTGATACTGGTCCTGAGCCATTGGACTAACCTATTGGAATGGGAGAAAAAAACAATTAAATATCATGTAGATATAAAATTTTTATATACATGATATTTAACTGTTTTTTAAAAGGATGCAAAAAGAAAGAAAAAATATAATTCTAAAGAAAAAACTAAGTCTTGTCCTCACCTACACAAAGCATGAATATAAAATTATAAAAATAAAAATATAATACAAAAAGAAAGATATATGTACATATACATATTATGGCCTACTGTGATACTATTACAGAATTCTTCTCTTTACCTGATCAGTTGCAGGTCTCATTTCATCCAGTGTCTCCTGGACAATCTCTCTTTTTATTTTATTGGAGCCGACCCAGAGAAACCTGCACAAATAGAGCAGACACATCTCCGAGTGTCTAGCACAAGGCAGGAAGAACTCTCTGATTATCGCTAGCAATGTGGCTTCTCTAATTGTCCCCAAGTAAGAGCTAACGCCAACTACAACCGAATTCATGTATCCATCGGGAAATATATCAGTTTCTGATTCTGTGTATGAAGAAGCAATGGCTGGAAGGAGAGAGGAGAGAGTTTTAAAGTCTTTTTTGTCGATGAGGTAGAGTGAGTAGGATGTAGTGAGTTGCATTGCCCCTGTGGTTGATGTCAGGTGTCTGATGAAAGATGAAGAGAGGGTGTATGTTGGGTAGTCCTGCTTTAGTTTACTGTGGATTAGCCTCAGTGATGACTCTGTCATGAAGGACAGGAGCTCGGGAAGAAATTTTATTATGATATCAATTTCCTACAACAAGAGAAGAATAAAAATGGAGAGTGAAAGTTACTAAACTTCTCACTCTCACTCACCAATGGATCTCCACTGTATGACTTAGTTTCCAAGTAACTGGCTGATTTTAAGCCAATGAACAGCAAACGAAGTAGACTCTCCAAATGACTGCTTTCCTATGACAAA